AAGACAACTACAGAGCATCAAATTAGGAAATCAGTTTTTTAAAACTTCTGCTTATGCAGATGATTTAACAATAGGAACTGGGTCTTCTATGGATTGGAATAAAACTATGGCAGTGCTAAGCTTATATGAAGCAGCATCAAATGCAAAAATTAACAGAACTAAAACTAAATTAGCTCCTCTTACAACCATAGCTCGACATATAGAACTTACTAATGAAAACCAATTTATCAAATTAGAAGAGCAAGAAAATATCACTATTTTGGACTATAACATTCTTACTAATGGACAACCGAAGAAAGATCTCTGGTCTACTATCATCAACAAGCTAAAAAAATTGCTGAACAAGCTTTTAAACAGAAACCTCTCCTTTAAAGGAAAAATTTTAATCACAAAGTCACTTATCTTATTTAAAGTTTGGTATTCAGCATATCTGCTACCTCCAAACAGAAAGCAAATAGCAGAAATTAACAGAATTATAACCCTTTAGATTAAGGGTACATCTCGGATGCTGCCCAGATATTCAATCTTTTAGCAATCAACAGAGTTAGCAGGTCTTCAAGCTTCAGTTATTAAAGACATACTAAATGCTTGCTTAATAACAGTTTGGATAAGACTTCTTACATCTAATGCATGTGGGCAATATATGAAAAAAATAAGATTCAGTCAATACTCAGGGACAGAAGAAGCCTTTTTCCTATACAGGCATTGAATTCTGGCAATACAAGCACAAAAGCCTGGGCTTCAGAATAGAAACCCTATTTAAAGACCTAGACAAGAATCAAAGGAAAGGTTCTATACACTTCTAACTGGTCTTGAAATAGATATGAAATTACAATTAGAGAAATTAAAGAAGACGAACTCTCAGTCAAAAGAAGTCTGAAGCTCTTAAAAGAATCTTCTCTTCCATTAGCTATAATACAAACATCATCGCAGATGCCTCAGCCCATGTGGCTCTCTTTAAAGTCTGTTTGTAACAAGAAAAAAGATCTCTTTTGGCATTTTTTTCACAAAGCACTCCTACTAGGCTATCATTTAAAACACATTGGAGCAACAGAAACAGAAAATTGCACTTGGTGTTCAAATGAAGTACAAACTATAGAACATTTTGCATTAGAATACCTTTATAGTATAATTATCTGAAAGAAAACATATAGTTTTCTCAATGTTAATGAGAAGATATCAATACCATCCTTACTTGAAAATATTTTTCAAGCTTCTAACAATACTTGTCCTCAGGCTTTAGCAGCTTTGACCTGGTTATATATTAATGCAATTTATGAAATATAGTATCACTACACTTCTGTAAAATAGGGAAACTTAGATACATCTCTTAATTCTTTAAACTCTTTTATTAGAAATCATATCTCAAAAGAAATACGAATTCTAAAAACAACCCTTTTAGTACTAGATCTAAATCTTTTAAACTAATATGTAAATATCTAAAAAGTAACTAAGTCACTTATAATATCTTAATAAAAGAGTACCACCTGCACTCCTAGTTGTAATGACAACAGGAATATTCAAAAAAAAAAAAAACTATGTATATATACTGCATATGTGCATATATATATATATAGCTAGTTATAACAATAATTCCCAAATTGACCTTAACTCTAATAAAGGTAAAACATAACAATACAGATCTTAATTGCTTATTACTATTCAAAAAATTAATTTAAAATGTTCTTAAACAATTAACATTACTATGATATACTACAAATATATTATATAATAAAGCAAGAATTACAATCTTAGATTTAACTTTATTTTGCTTTATTAGCCACTACTACAGTTGATGATTGTATATACAAGCATATAAAACAATTGACATATATATGAACATTTAAACCTTTAATCTTATTCTATATAAGCAATATATACAGTAATTATGTCTTTACAATTTCATATATTTACTCTTTTCTTTTATGTGAACAAGTTGCAATATTATAATTCAGTTGTTTACAAAATCTACAAATATATTGTTCACACTTCTTATTGCTTTGTTCTTGTATAGTTGTTACAACATTCTTATTATAACCTGATGACTTTGGCCTTCCTTTAGTAAATACCTTTCAGAGATTTGCAATTAGTATTATATTATATTCTACATTTTTAATAGTGTATTGGCTTGCTGTAACCTCTTGTTCTTTAACCAATTCATCTTTTTTTGCTTGAATCTTTTCTAAATAAACTTCAATTAAATTAACAAATTCATAATCACAATGCAACATATATTTATTTACAGCAGTACATGCAAGACCCCAAACTTTTCTATAAAAAAGCATTTCATAAATAAACTTTTCATTTATAGACTCCCTTATGTTATGATTAGCAAATAGTTGCAACTATACAAATTGATATTCATTGCTTTCTTGAATGACATTTATATCATTAACTAATTTATTAAAACATTGGCCAGAGTATGAACATTCTTTTGCTATATCTAATTGTTTGTTTCTAGAAATCCATTATGTTGCTATCAGTTGTAAACTAAATTGTGCCTTCTCTGTAACATTCAATAAATAATAAAAAATAATAACAAACAAGATCCTTTCTTTGTTGCAAAAAACAAATGCAGCCATATAACCCATTTTTAAGAAAAAAAATAAAATGATTAATTCTGTAACTTGTGACTCTTGATACTTTTCAGATCTTCTCAACTGTATTCTGATTTAAATAACCCAAAAGATACTTAGCAGACAAGTAAACTATGTCAGGCTCATCATCTATATTTTTACTTTGTAAAGATTCATTATCTATAAGTAATTCTACCTTTTCAGCTATGAAATGACTAGAAGTATAAGACAAACTCTTCTTAATTTGCTCTATTAAAAAATGTAAAACATTTAGTCTTAAATAACATTTTAGTAAGGATTCTATTAGAGGAAAAATAGTAACAATACTTGTTATGGAAGGAATACCTAGTCTTTATTCTTCAAATTGCTTTTGATTTTGTTCTTCTTTACTTCTTTCTATCAATAGTTTACTTATATCACACAATAATGTATTACTATTTTCCAACACTTGTTTTATGCATGCATTTTAACTTTTGACAAATGATGTAGATTAAATACCAAGTGTAAATGTCATTATAGTAAAAGCATGTGCCCATAAATATCGATGTTTATAAAGATACTGTTCAAGATATAGTTTTGTATCAGAGAAGTTCACAAGTTGATTCCAATAATATTTAAAGCTATGTGACATATTAGCATTCCTGCATTGTCAAAATTTGTTGTAAAATTCCTCAAACAAATCTCCTAACTTTCTATGTAACACCTTTTGTATATTTTCTTTAATATGCCAAATACAAAAAAGGTGATGCATTTTTGAATACTCTAAAGTTATTGCACATTCCATTGCTGAATCACTATCAGTAACAAATACACATGGGTATCTATTATTAGTAGCTTTTTTTGTCATTTGAAGAACCCACTAGTATGTTTCAGTTAATTTATTCTGACAAAAGCTTGTGCAACAATGCAAGATTGCATGTTATCATCCTATACTACAAATAAGAAAAGAGGCATGATATACCTATTGGTACTCATAGTATTATAATGCCCAATTGCTTCACTGAATTCATATCATAATAGAATTTGTTCTGAACTCATTCAGAACAAATTCATTAGTGTATTAGTTTCTTCTTCCTATGTAGCTTCAATAAACCAGCAAGGATCTTTTTGTTGTTTTGATACTAACTGCTCATAAAACTGTGATATATTACTTCTAATTATATTATTTGATAGTTGATATCTTTGTATTTCAGCATTGAATCTTTGAAAAACATAGGGTGAAATGAAAACTTCTTTTTTAAGATACATTACATCATAGTTGCACCAAGACAACATTTAGTAATAAGGAATTCAACTTATATTCACATCTCTTCTGTAAACTGTGTTTTTTTCAAAACATATTGCCTTAAAAGATAAATTATAATTATGATTATCATCCAATGTTATAACAAATACATAGAAATTGGAGTTATCTTTCAAAGAGCACAAAAGTTTAATGTGGCATGGGCACTATATTCAAGCTGAAGTACTTGCCTTTCCAGTATTTTTAGGCTTATATATGTCAGAATGTTTGCAGAGAATGGTTCATTTGTGAACTACCTTACTGTTTTTAGTAGCATCAATCATTTTTACATATCTAAGTCTCACTTTAAACTCCTTATATTCTGCAAATTGACATACATAAAATTCAGCATCATCAAAGTTATCAAAAGAATCACTCTTTTTTAAAGATACTGGTTCTAGATTATTATAGGTGTTATTTATATTCTCATTACAGTGAGTAATTTCTTCAAAATATATTGTCAAATTGATGTCGTCTTCGTTAAAATCTTCTATAATTGTTGTATAAATTTTTTTTATTTAGTATTAAAGTTATTATAGAAAAGTTTGAGTTTTGTTTTAAAAAAAAAAACTGATTTGTAAGCACAAGAAAATATAAGTAATAACTAGAGATGTTGTTGCAATGCCACAATTTATTATAATGATGGCATTGTAACAACACCTCTAGTAATCTCAAAATTCAAGCACAAAAGTTTATTTAAAATCCAGTTAAGTGAAATTCTGATAATCAAAAGCCTAATCGAATGTCTTGATTTCTATCAAACCTATAGCCTTCTTGAGTAAATTATCTAAAAAACTATTTTCACTTTAAAATAACCTAAAAGAAACACCAAGAAAGTGTATTAGTTTTATTAGTTTCTTAGTACAGTTTAAGCAAATTAATGTATGATAATGCATAATATATTTATATTTAATTGACTACTAACCTTACTCTGTTTATAGCATTTCTAGATTTCTACAAATAAAAGACTGTTCTTGTCTTGAATTCTAAAGAAAAGATCAGAAAAGTGAATTAGTCTCATTGGTTTTATAATACAGTTTGAGCAAAATGACATATGCTTATACATGAATTAGGTCTATACTTGACTATAGTTGTTAGATGAAACTCAAAAAATAAAATTATAACAATGAAGTTCATTATTATAATTTTCTTTTTTGGGTTTCACCTAATAACTATATACTTAACTGACTACTAACCTGACCTTATTTCTAAATTTATACTGCTTTTGTCTCAAATTCTAAAGAAAAGATCAAAAAAGTAAATTAGTCTCATTAGTTTCATAATACAGATTAAATTAAGTAAAGCATGATAACATGTGAATTCTGAAATTAGGTCTATATTTGACTGACTACTAACCCAGTCTTATTTCTAAATTTATATAAGTAAAAGACCGATTTTGCTTCAAATTCTAAAGAAAAGATCAGAAAAGAAAATTAGTCTCATTAGTTTTCTAATACTGATTGAATGAAGCGACACATAACGATAAGTGAATTCTGAAATTAGGTCTAAATCTGGCTAACTACTAACTTAGCCTTGTTTATAGTATTTCTAAATTTATATAAGTAAAAGACTATTTTTGTCTCGAAAGCTAAAAAAAAAGTCAAAAAAAAAATTAGTTTTATAGTATAAATATAGAGTATAATATACGTGAAATAATGTTATACATAAATTAAATTTTTAGTATAGTATTATGTATCTGGTTAAAAATATTTTGATATACAGCATGTGACAGATGTACTATAATGCATAAGACATCAAATTATAATTCTCTTAAATTTATTATTTTTATAGTTTAAATTTTTAATTTTATTTTAATAAAAAAACTAGTTATTATTTAAGTTGTTTAAATTTGTTTGATGACTATAGATAACACAAACTATAATATTCATATTCTTCACATTTAGTATTCATATCTTCTAATCAAAATAGGTATATTATACTTTGTGTATGACGCTATGCAAGAAATTAATAATCCGATATTTACTATTTACATCTCACGTATCCCGCGTATCCCGCGTATCCCGCGTAAGCGGGATGTAAACAGTAGATTAATTTTTTTTTATCTACTTAACTGACTTTTAATTTCTTGCATAAGCATCACGCACAAAGCGTAATATATATATGTGGCAGCTTATAAAAATATACTTATATTTAAAATGTGTTACAATGCAAAATCGGAATCC